CTTTAAGTAATAATATTTTAATAATTACTTATATAAATAAATTTTTTTTGTTTTAATTTTATAAATATAAAAATTAAAATAAAAAATTTTATCAAATTAATACAGTCTTGTTTTGAACTTTGAGTATAATATTTCAATAACTACTTATTTAAGTTTATCGAAATTTTTTTTCTATAAAATTTATAAAATTAAACATAAGTATAATAAACCTTTTTTACAAGTATTCTTTCAAAAATCTTGGTATGATATATGACTTTTCAAATATTTTTGTATCTTTTTCACAAGTTTAAAATTTTGAAAAATATTTTAAAAATCACACCAAAGATTTTTGAAAGAATACTTTTTAAAAAGATTTATAATTCTACTTGTAAAAATAATAAATTTTCATCGAGTTTAGATGAGTGGTTATTGAGATATCATCGCTCAAAGTTTAAAAAAACCTGGCTGCAACCTTTCTTGATTCAAAGTTTAGAAAAAACTTGGCCAGTCTATTTTAATAATTGTCTAAACTGGTTTTGAATTTTGAGCGATGATATCTTGATAACTACTCATCTAAACTCGTTGACAATTTTTTTTATTTTAAAAAAATTTCGTTGAGTTTAAATAAGCAGTTATCGAGATATCATCGTTCAAAGTTGAAGAAAATTTGGTTGCAGTCTTTGTTTTGATAATCATCTAAATTGGTTTTGAATTTGAGAGATAATATCTTGATAAATACTTACCCAAACTTGATGAGAATTTAAATAAAAAATTTTGTCTAGATACGCTCAAAGTTTGGATAAAATTTGGCCTTGATCTTTGATAATCGTCTATATTGGTTTTGAACTTTGAACGATGATATCTTAATAACCAAACTCGATAAAAATTTTTTTATTTTACTTCTATAAACCTATAGAATTAAAATAAAAAAATTTTCATTGAATTTAGGTAAGTAGTTATCGAGATATCACTATTCAAAGCTTGGAAAAAACTTTATTTTGATAATCGTCTAAATTGTTTTTGAACTTTGAGCGATAATATTTTAATAATTACAGTACTTATAAAAAATTTTTATCTATCATAATTCTATGAATCCACTGAATTAAAATAAAAAAGTTTCATTGAATTTAGATAAGTAGTTATTGAGATATCACTATTCGAAATTTGGGAAAAACTTAGCCGCGATCTTTATTTTGATAATCGTCTAAAATGGTTTTGAACTTTTGAACTTGTTATTAGGGATCTTCGATTTCGCCCAATCAGAACGTGATTGTTCAGAAAATTTTTCGCCATACTAACAACAATGATGCATCATATAACTGAAGTACTGTAAAGTTTGGAGCCGGGTTTATTTTTCATATGTTATTAAAATAAACCCGGTTCCAAACTCTACGTATACATAGGGTCTTAAGCGGATACAAAATCTGGTCTATCGCTATGACTTCATTAAGTCCTCCCGCTATGCTCCGGACAATAAATTTTGCAAATACAATGTGTCGTTGAAAAAATTATTAAATCTTCTAGTGTTTATTTGTTAATTTAAAAAAACGGAATAATAGTAACACGTTAGTGTAGTTAACGAAGGTTCATAGCAAAAAGTATGAAGCTGGCTGAACAATAACCTATTTACTTTAATAGCTATATAATTTGATAAGCCAGCACAAAAAAAATGAGTAAGGGACAATATTTCTTTTCCTGCATCTTATTTAATGATAAACGATAAGTTAAAAATATTTTCTACTAATTTAGATTTTATTTCCAACACAATTAATATTGAGGGAGGAGCTTGAGAGCTAACGCTAATGATACTCATGTTTTATTTTCATCGATTCTGATCGATTATAGATAATGAGTTACAGTCAATTTGATATACCAGGAAATTTTCATGAAAATGAAACAAAATCTCATCTGTGTAAGCAAATTATAAATAGCTGTCACTCAACGAAGAGCGCAAAAAAAATTTTGAAACCATGTTTAAAGAATTATAGTTACTATTAAAGACAATATTAAAATTCTTAATTATATGCATGTACTATATTGTGAAAACGTTTCGCACTACAAACATTAATAACACTTAACACACTAATATTTATTTATTATCTTAATTTGAAGTTTATTATTTTATTACGTACAAAAAAATTATTTACATTAAAGAAAAAAAAAAAAATCTTATACTCTTAGGGTGAATGAAAAAAAAACTATACATTGGCGTCTAGCCAAAAAATGAAACATATGTAATAAAAAACATATGTAAAAAAAAATGTATGGTATGTGAGGTTGCAGATTGGTAATAATTTTATTAACAATGGGAAAGGGAATCTGCGAGTTTGCTATTATTATTAAGAAAGTAAAAATATTCTAATGTGATCAACACAAAAATGAAAGAAAAATGTTTTTTTTTTTTTTTTTGGTTTAAAAATAGGTAGAATAACGGTTTGTATTTTCTGCGTTCTCAATGCCTTTCATTGCATAAGTCGAATACCTTTTCAATTCTTCGGTGATCTCTTCATCATCATATATAACAGACCTTCGGTAAGTTTCATATTCCTTCGCCCAATTGTTTGCAGATTTAACAGTCTGATCGGTTTTAGTGCGACGCAAAATGTTGTAAAAATTATCGAGCGTCTGGTTTAAAACACTGTTACGACGTGATTTTCGTTGTCTTTGACGACGGATATTGGATAGGATGTTTGGTCGTGACGAGGTCTTCGTGTTTTCAATCATTTCTTTTGAAATTATGCGATAAAATAATAATGATAAAATAATAATGATAAAATAATAATGAAAAATAATAATGAAAAATAATAATGATTGAAGTATATATTTTAATGTTATAATGTTATGTTAATAAACCAAAAAAAAAAAATTAATTTCAATTTCTGAAATTTTTGGTATTCGATAGAATAAGGAAAAAAAGAAGGGCAAAACAGGCCTATTTTATTGATTTTTAAAGATTGTAGATCCTTTAAAAGAGCAGGTGAAAATGGAAGAATGTTGTTACATCGTAGATGGTGATCCGAAACCAGGAGACGCTGCAAGGTAAACCAGGCATGCTAACTGATTGAACTAAATTAGGGGTATGCATCCATGCAAAGTTTTTGTATAGTCCTGTGTTATATGTACGCCACTTTTCTTAGAAATAATACATAGCATATGACAGGAGTTGAGAACTGTCTTTATATTTGTTACTAAGAAACAGAACAATGGATAAAAATAGTTTCATTATAATCGATGACTTTCTTTGTGTCATTGTAACCTGCGTCAATTACCGAGAAAAATTTTTTGTCACACATTAACTAACCATTTATAATATCATTGCTTCAGACTTTCCGAATTATTTTCTTTGTTGATAGAGTTATAGAACGTCATGATGTCGACTCATGATGCATCAATTAGTCCAATGTTGGATATTCATAAATCGAGAATTCTTAGATAGTTCTTTCTGAATTTTGCCAGAAATGAATATAAAATGGAACTATTTTCCATACTTCTGAAAATTAAAAAAAGATCCTGATTTACTTAAAATTATCTCCTACGTACAGAGACCTCCGTGACCTTCGTCTGTAGATTTTCACATGTTATTATGTTTTATATATTAGGCTGATTTGGCCTGAACTTTAGACTAAGGATAACGCCGTCAAAGCTTGTCATTATAATCTAATCTAGGTGATGGGATGCGATGGATCTTCATGTTTTTGTTTATTTACCAGTCTTGCCCAGTTTCTTATATAAATAATTACACAAAGAAGCTCTGCTATGTTTGTTGAATTTATTCAGGCCACATGATAGATATTTACGCTTGTTACCGGTAGATTCCCAGTAAATTTTAACTAATATTAATATCGATATTAATAATATTATATATGAAAGAAACTACTAGCAGTTACCAAATAAAGTTTGTGGATCAGACCATATTCGAAAGAGTTTGAACCCGGGTTTATTTTTTCATATGTTAAACCCTATTAAAACCAGGTTTAACATATGAAAAATAAAACCGGTTCAATTCGAATTATTTTTCAAAAATATACATAGCGATCATCTCTAGTAGTGAATAGCTGGATTGTTTCAGGTGATTTTTTACCACCAAAATGTACCGTCTCGATTAACTATATATATCGATATATATAGTTAAAAAATCAAATTACAAGATTCTGAGATAGTTATAGGCTTATATCACTTCAGATGTTTTGGGATTGATTTAACCACTTCTTGAGACGATCATACGATCCAGTGGATTAAAAGTTATTCACTACGTATTAAAGACTATCGCTATGTACATTTTTTTAATAATAAAATAATAACTGTAAATATTATTATTTTTATATACGTATAAGTTTTTCTTCTTATATATATACCTTATCGGTAACTTGCTAGAAAATTTTATAAATTATCATGAGAATTATCGTTAGATTTATTGTTAGTGATTAGATTTCAATCTATATACAAGAAAAATTAGTTATTAAGATTAATCTAAAAAAAAATTGGTCAAGTTTAAGGATACGTACGTATTAATCTGTTTACGTACGTAGCAGTAATTATCGGCTGATTTTGTACAAGATTTGTAAAGAAAAATTGGCGTTTATCCCAATAAGTAAAGTTATAAAAAGCCATTTTTTCTATAACAGTAATAGAAGTTTATCGATTTTTGCAGTAATTTAAAACAATGCGAAGAAAATTTCGGTCCCATTAAAAAAATCAAAAAATAAATTTTGTATAACTTATTGTCAGTTATATAGCTGATAATACAACGGCACGAAGCTTGGAACCGGTTTTAATCTCACATGTTAAACCCGATTTAACATATTAAAATTGGAACCGGTTTTAATCTCACATGTTAAACCCGATTTAACATATTAAAATTGGAACCGTTCCAAACTATTCAAAACCAATTGTTGAATGATTATCCACTTAGTAACTTACGTAAAAATTTCACAAAAAAAAAATTAACCTTAATTAGCATTAAACTAACATACGAATGAATCATGTGATAATACAATTTTAAGAAAAAATAATAAATTAACGCCGATTCGATCACTACTGAAAGCGAAAATAAAACTCTAAGTACTTTTGATAGGATATTTTCGGGAATGTTGTATGCAGTGTTAAGTTAAATAGTATTCTAATAAAATATATACGTATTAAAACGTAATTCGGTAATTGCGAACTAACATAGCATATATTCATTATTAAACTAAAATTCAGTTTTTAATCTGTATAAGATTATGGCATATTTATTTTTATCATTTGAATATGATTATTGTTTAATGTATATACATAAAACTTAAATCGATTAGGAAGTAACATACTATCTCTCATATACCCTTTTCTACAAAAAAGTTCTTTTCTAACTCTTCTACCATCAGCAATGGCTGATGCCAATTAATTTTCATTATTACGTCTACCACTATTTTTTTTCAATTCATTCAATAATATCTCAATTTCATTTCATTTTCCGCGTATCTGTTGATGGTAGGATCAAAATGATAGTGTGAAGGTGATGAACACAAGAGATGGTAACATGACTTTCCACCACTGACGCTCTTGCATGGGGATGTGATTGACTTGGATGGTCTCATGACAACGTATGGATTCATTCGACTATTAGGTGAGAGTACGACCGTTCGGTTAATTCTTGATGGTGGTGTAGTGGGTGTAGAATTTTGACTCATATTGATATTCAGATTTTGTTCCATATTTACATTAGTTTGTAAATGAGTGATAACTCGTTTATTTTCTTTCTGTTCCAACTCTTTTAAAAGGTTTCTCTTTTCGCGTGCTTTTTGTGCCGACCTTTTTTTTTTTTTCAATAATAAAATAAATAAATAAATTAATATTTTGTTCAAACTTATTTCTAATAATTAAATTATATTTTCATTTAAGTTAAATTATTTACTTTCTCTTTGATTCCAACATCCGCTGTCGTCTTTCTTCATCATTTTTTGGTCGATTAGGATCATTATCCCAACGTGACGCACGAGGCAACTCAATTTCATGTTTATCTTTGAGATGCCTACGTAAAATAGAACGTGCATTTTTGCCTTGATAAATTTTACCACATTCTTCACATGAAAATTTCTTGTATTCACTGGCTGAATTTTCTTTATTTTCGTTAACAGTTTGTTGATCAATAGTTGATTGCTGTGGTGTTTGTACGAGTGAACGCAATGGTGAAACTTGTGATAACTGCAAAAGTCTTGGTGGTTCATATTGTGTGTCTTCGCCAAGAGGAAGTGTATCAAACGTCGTTTGAATAGGTGAAGAGTTAAGACACGCTTCTTTAGAAGGTGAAGTGTGAAATTCCAAGGTTGGAAGTTGTTGGAGTTGAGTTGAAAGTTGGCGACGTACGGTCGTTAGTTGAGTTGAAAGTTGGCGACGTACGGTCGTTAGTTGAGTTGAAAGTTGACGTACAGTTGTCAGTTCAGGCTGCAGCACGAGAGGTTTAATATGTATTGGACTTAATGTTCCTTGTTCATCATCCGTACTAGGTGATGATAGAAACCTCAAAGGTGGTAGTGTCAGATCATTAAGCGAAGAAAGAGAATGGAAAATAGCATTTGGATAGTATGTTTGTGCAGGCATTTTTCATCTATGTAGAAATTAAAATTGCTTGTTTATAATATTTCGAAAACAATCGCGAATTTTACAAAAAACTGATGCGAAATTTAAGGTCTATTTATACCTTAATTTCACTAGGACGCCAGACGCGTGAAGTTGTGTGAACACACTGATTTCATAAATACGCGTTTTATTTATGAACAGTCAGAAATTGATTATCTCGATCAGGTAAGACCGTCATTGACTGCCCCATGCAAAATTATCATATAAACCATTATCGGCGAACTTATATATATAAAATTGGTCACTAAAAATTTAATATCATTAAGTATCAACAAATCTAAATAGACCCAAATATCTAATTCTAAACATTTTCTAGTTAAACAAATAGACATTAACTTATTATGCCTAATATATTTTTTGATTTTTTCAACCTTTTTTTTTTTTTAGAAAATTATATACTCCAAATTATTAACTAAACGCGTTCTAAAAAAAAATAAAAAAATTTAAATCGTTAGTTTAGCAGACAAATTTGGCTATTACAATAACACAATTGGAATTTTTTTAGTTATTTTTTATATTTTATATAATATTTTTAGTAATAATAATTAAAAAATATACAGTCAAACCTCTCTATAGTTACCCTCTATATAAGCACATTATATAAAAAATTCTCTTTATAAGCACATTTATTTTAAAACCAACTATTATAAACATATAGAAAAAAAACTTCTTTATAAGCACATCTTAGTAAAATTCTCTTTACAATTACTCAAATATTTATCTCGAGGGGTGTAATTATAGAGAGGTTAGATTGTGTTACATAAAGTAATAAACTTAATAAAAATTATAATAACAAAACTTTTTAACTGTTTTCTAGGCAAATTTGCTTGAAATTTTGAAAAGTATTTACAATTTTTTAAATAAAATTAAAAATATTAATAATATGAAGTATATTTTATATACAATAGTTTTTTTTTTTCACTTTGATAACCTTGCACTAATTTATTAGAAGCTTTGTAATTTACAAATTTAACTATCTAATTTACACATTAGGCCAATACCCGGCTGCTTAAAAGTGCCCAAGTATGGTTATTGCACTGATATTTGCCAACTGACTCCACATATAGTGCTATCTATATTTAAAAGCATGGTACTCAGCTATCTAAAAACTTTTTAAGAAATACAAAAGATAAAATAAAAAAAACTCTATTCTAATCTAATTTACTTTGACCACCAGCTAGGTGGAAAAGAATTTGAAATTTGTAACCAAATTGTTTCTTTTGCTAAATTATAAATTTCTACTACTTTTTCTTTAAGTTTTATTAAATATGACTTGTCTTTTTCTTTTTTTCTTTTTATACACATCTCCATTGAGGCCATTTTTCTTTTTCTTAAATGGATTTCTGATGGTTGGTTTTCTGCTTGTGTATTTGTTGCTAACAAACTTTCTGCAACTAGATCTTCAGCCTGTAAGTTCTCTTCAAAAGTATTTATTGAATCCTGAAACCTTTTTCCTCTTTTAATTGCTCTGCTTATACCATTATCTTTTTCCCAAACTGCAAACTTTTTACATCTTTCTCTTCAAATCACTCTGTAAAAACATTCTTGTATAACATAGAAAAGTGCTTTGTAGCACTGCCAGCTTGATAATAGCTTCTTGTTTATTTCCTGAAGCTTAGTAAAATCTGCTTGACAGACCAAACTCTGTATAAGCATTTTTTTTCTCTTATCTAGCCTTGTCTCTCATAAGTTGCCAAATACCACATTTTTAAGATCTTTTAAAGTGTATTCAAATCTAGTTTTCTCCTCGAATATGGCCCAAAAAAGTGCTAGTGCTTGTTTTTCTATTTTTAATTATAAGCTTTATAACTAATAAGATGATCCAAATCCTCTATTACATACGATGCAATTAGCCAAGGAGTTTCAGCAGGGACAGTCAAACCATTGGCTATCCTGAGTTAACAATTACCATAAAGAGGCATCATGTGATAAATAAATATAGATCAATTTTTAAATAGTATTTATATAGGAGTGTAATTATTAATGTATGTGATTCCCATGTGACACTAAATTAAAAACCCGATCAAAGTAGTTTTGTAAGTAATAATGAATTATTACTTATCCCTTACTTAATATTAAGTAGTGTTAAGTATTTATTACATTATATTTTATTACTTATTACGTTTAAATTTTTTTTTAAATTCAATTATAATAGGTGATCAAGATTAAGAGTGTTCTCAAGTGCCTAAATCAATTGAACTGGAATAAAATTTCAAATAGTCGGGCCAAAAAAATTGATCAAGTGAATTGCTGCTTCACTAAAAAAAGTTTGGAGGTGCAGACCATCTTTTTTTTCATAGTTATACCGATATTTGCCAATGTATTTAATCCTTCATTACTCGTTCCTAACGCATCTAAATAAAAAGAAATAACTGACTTAAAAGCATTAATTTGCGTATTATTTAATGAAGCCAAAAGATAACAAATAAACACCATAATTCTTTTCATACGATCCATAGTTTGGCTAGTACATTCTGACAGTCGCGCTGCTAAATATAATTGATCAAAAAATAACATAAGTTAGGATCTTTATTTTTAAATAATTTACATAATTCATCAAAATTATAAATAGGCTTTTGTTTTTCTATAACTTCTTTCTTATGAAGAACTCTTGCTATAGAACTTATGGCTTCAACAAGTTCATAATTAATATTCGACACATCTACTTCTTCGGCTTCGTTTTCCATATGATCTATCTCTTTTTCTATAGCTTTACTTGTAATTTTTTTATTAGTAAATTTTTTTTTCTTTTCTAGGATTTGCTACATATCTCATATAGCAAATGTTGCAAAGTGTACAACCTACACTCCATGATTCTCTTACCAAACCTTTACTCTCAACTTCTTGCCAAATTTCAGAACCTAACTGACAAAATTTCTTGGAACTAGTAGTCTTACAATTTATGCATTTCTTATTATTTTCCATTTGGATCGCAGACTTAAGGTTGCAGGATTAAGAGGGGTTAAACTAATATATGCTTCTACATTATGAAGGCTCCAAGTTTACTTAATAAACTATTGGTACTTAGCTTATTACAAAAGCGAGTAATACAAGATGTTCGAAAGTACTTTAAATAAATATAAAAAAAAAAATTTGTAAGTTGTGTAAAATTAAACGAAAATCTACATAGGAGGCACTGTCTCTGCTAAAGCCAAAGAGTATATGTATAGCCTGTGCTAATATAACTTATCCAATGTTGGAAGTATTCAGAAAAGATTTAACAAGCTTATTATTACTGGCTAATCATAGGAGCAGATTTGTTTCCACGTGATTATTAAGAATTCGTCCTCTGATTGGTCGATTTGTTTAACATAATAATAAAAAGTGATACTTCCTTTTTCGAAGCCACTAAAATTTTTTTTTCAATATTGTAGTACGAAATTTTGTACTTACATTCAACAAGACCTCAGCTTCAAAGATCCTAAAAAGATCCTAAAATAGGTATAACTTTTACTAGTAACGATGCCAAGGGGTTTATCGCGAAAAAATAAAGGGCCATGTAAGATATGTGGCAAGAACAACCTTGAAAAAAAGTTTCACAGACTAACGCCAGATCTTTTACCTAAAGCTATGGAGAGTCAAGCCGCTCCAAGTTTAAAGGCAGGACTCAAATTAGATGACCAACTGTGTCAACAACATTATAATGAGCTAATAGCATTCGATAGAAATTTTTCTAAAAAACGGTCAAATTTAGTTTGTAATTCTGATGAAATGTACACTAAAAGTGAAAATACTAATAAAACTAATGAATATCTCGATAGTTTTTTTCAAAGTAACATATATACACTTGAAGATAAGAAGACATTCGAATGGCACTTAAAATCCGCTAAGTATGGAAATTCTACTGGACAATTAAGTGTTGAACATTGTTACAAAAAGGGAATAGGCGTTTCAAAAGATAGCAAAAAGGCATTTGAATGGTATTTGAAATCCACTGGAAGTGGAAATACTAATGGACAATTAAGTGTTGGGAATTGTTACCAATATGGAATAGGTGTTTCTAAAGATAAGAAAAAGGCATTTGATTGGTACTTGAATTCTGCTGAGGGCAGGAATTCTAATAGAAAACTGAATGTTAGACACTGTTATCAAAATGGTATAGGGGTTCCTAAAGATGAAAAAAAGTGTTTGAATAGTATATGAAATCTGCTAGTAATAAGCACCCAGATGAACAATCAAATATTGAAACAACTTTCACACCTGCAGCATTTATTAAGAACAATAAAAAACGACCTCTTTCAAGCATACAATCGATATTGGGGCAACATAAACGACTTGTTGCCTTTGGGAAAGATACAGAGAAAGGACTCTCAGTAATAATTGCACAATATCAATTGGTTATGAACAATAATCAGTCTGCCGTTCGTGTGCATAATATTCAATTTGACATTAATCATAAAATTATTAATTTAAATTACTAGCCTCTTGATATAGGAATGAAGCTTTCTGAATTAGATGCAATCATTCGAGCATGTGATGAATCTTTGATATCTCGAGATTCCTATCGTCGATTGGCGGATATTGTGCCTCAACTCATTCGAGAATATCGGGTTGCAGTACGAAGAACTGAAATAACAAGCATAATGAATGAAAAAATTGGAATTGAAACATTTAGTACTGATGAACAATCAGAAATCAGAAATGGCGCTTATAGATCTATAAAATCTCTATTAAATATTCTTTTTCCTATTTGGCAACAATCTTTTCCTCCTATTCTTATTCCAGGAGATACAATTAAATTAAAACTTGGGGGCGATGGTCATAATATAGGTTGCAAACAAAACCATGTGATAATGACTATTTGTCTTTTAAATGAAGGTAAAAAGGTTTTAAAACCTGACCATCAATATTGGTAAGTTTATAAAAATTTTTACTATCCACTGTTTAATTCTGCGATGAGAGTTTTAATTATTTGGTATTTAAGCATTTGTTTGTATATTAGAAAAGAAAAATATGACACG